TTCACAGTGTGACAGGGGGGAAGGCTGTCACACCACAGCCTTTGCAAAAAAAATGAAAGCAGGGCACGTTGAAATGGGGCCAGCATCAGCTTTCACGGCCAGGCCTTCGTACTACACACAGCATTAACAGCACAGCTGCAGTCAGAGGAGTCAGGTCACAGTTGTCCTAATGGAAAGATATTTTGGAGGGGTGCCTCCTCTAGAAAGTTGATCTAAGAAGCCAGAGAACAAAGTGACACCTAAGGATACTGCTAGTTTGCACACAGAAGCATCCCTAGCATCAACGTGGCCATGAGCGGGTTACGTTCAGTGTCTGTGGACTCTACATCCCTTAATGTTTTGGTGTTCCCCTTAGGCAGCATGACTACTGCTGTGAGCACTACAGGCACCACGCAGCAGCAGGGATGGCAGAGCTGGACCCACTGGGAACTCTGGCATCATCCCTTACAGATGTTTGTGGAGGAACTAGCAAAAGCAGAAAGTTAGCGCACTTGAAGCATTTTCAGACTTCTGAAGCTGTCAGGGAGAGGTGCTGCTCTGTACATCCTTCGTTGTTATTCACTATGAATACTCAGATTTTGCAAACCTTTGTGAAAAGATTATACAAGAACAAGCATTACATTCAGCATGATGTTTACTTTAACTGAGCAATAGTCCATAGCCACTCTAGAAATCGAAATAGACAACTCTTGTTCACATTTACTTTTTTTAGATCTGTTTTGGGAGATGTTTAAGTGAATTAATGGAGTTGGGGAGAACATCAAGGTCAAAGACACAGAACCTATAAAGAAAAAGATAAAAACAAAATGGGCTGAGCCATGATCTTAGAGAAAAAGATGTATTGAATTGGCAACTTCAAACTTCAAGCTCCCGTTTTTCAAAAAAATTCACAATTTAATATTGAGGTGCTACAGAAAAACATGAGTACAATAATATCTTTTGAGTAAACAGGAATTGTTAGGGCCAGATAACAACCATGATCTATCAGCTACAGACACACTTAAAGAGTGGGTTTCCCCTCAAATTATCAGCTTAAATACATGGCAATGTATCTACAAAACAATACAATGAGAATATATATCATACAGATGTACACATTGTATACAAAAATGTGCCACAGACAGCTCTTGGGAACTGCAGCCATTTGCCTTCTCTCAACACCAATACATCCTGAATCTGGTGATCATAGTGAGAAAGAAGAAATATGTCATTTAATGACACTGAGTCAATATCAGAAAAGTGGTTGCTGTTAAAAAAAAAAAAAAAAATTGCTTTAAAAATTATTTACTGTGATCAAAGGGTTTTGGTTACCCCTTTCTGCACACACCACCCCCTAACAGGATTGTTGGGAATTTCTGCAGCAGGGTGAAAAAGACAGATTTCTGACTCCTGCTTCAAGAAATAGTTGTTCAAACTGCTTCTGTCTGGGCAAGGCTTAAAAAAAGGCCCAAAGGCTCTGAAAGTCCCAGAATTCAAATCTTGATGGATTTAAATCTTCACCTCCCACACCCATGGCAAACATGACTACCATTAAGTTTGAAGAGAAGCCCTACAAAATATAAGAAGCAAAAAAAATCTTGGTAGAAAGGAAGAAGTAAATGACAAGTAAACCAGTAAATAATTTGAAGTTAATTTTAATTTAAATTAAAATCCTAATCTTAATCTAAAATAACAAACATAGTAGATGATTTTAATAATTCTCCTTATTTTGGATTCATAACTTTTAAAAATTATTTTTGTTTATTAAATCAGCTGCCTAAAAGAATTAAGTATATTTTGGCCTCTTTTTATGTCTGCTTTCATTCAGATATTTTCTGAATCTAAATGTCTTTAAAGTAATTTCTTTTTTTGAATTTCTCAAGCCCCAAGTGGTCCACTTTTCTCAAATTTCAGTCCACGAACTGGACTCCTGTATAAATTCAAAGATGTTTTCCCTGCACCGCATGCTGTAGGTAATCAGCATTGTTGAAAAACAAATACAAGCCAGAACAGATAGTCTAAGTAATTTCCTAGAGAAGACAGGCCCTGCTGCTTCAGTCACATTAAAGATACAGTGGCTGGTGTGCTTACAAATTGCTGACAATAAACGGGGAGCTGTTTATCAGCAAGAGTGGCACTGCAGATGTCTTTGAGAAAATACAAACCAGAGAGTTGCACCCAGGACTTCAGGCTGGCAACCAGGTATTCTTTCACAAACCACTCTCTCTTTTCTTGTCTCCTGAAAATTTTGTGCAAGACTTCAGAAATTTTTTCATCTGGAGAAATGCGATATGTTTAAGAAACCAAACAAACACAACTCTTTTCTAGCCACTGTATCACTAAACAGCTGATTTACTGGTACCTGCTAAAAGACAAAAAGCTGCGTGTGATGTAAGCTCAACCTGTAATGATTTCTAACCAGCGATATGAGAACTCAGATCCTAGGACAGTTATGATCTGCAGTAACTGTTATTCTGGTAATTTCAAATGCTGAATGCATTGCCGTAAACTTAAACAGATTCATGTGACTGACGTCCCACATAATGCTTTAAAGAAAGACCTATGGGGAGAAAAGCCTTTACAGCAGTTATGTTGATGGCACACCTTGTGGGAACAAAGAAGGCATTACAAAACTGGCCTCCACAAGGAGTCTGCACAATTTATTTAATGAAAACATAGAGATGTAAGCCATTATCCATACAGAGGGAACACAGGTGTCACAGAACAGAGCACTGCAGTATCTAGTATTTATGCAACAGATTGATCCTAAGTGTTTATTGCAAGCTCGTTTAGGTTTTATGCTATCTATATAACACAAGAGAAAAAGTTTCTTAAGAGCAGGTTTCACAAAGCCCAACAAGCCAAAGAGGAAATAGCTACATTAGCCAGTATCAATATTGAGAAAAAGGCGTTAGCTATTATGTTTCAAATCTTCCTGAAAGCTCCTGGGATTCAACGCTTTTAACTCAGTCTTTACTTACCCCCCTCCATCCCAATGTGCCTCAAATCTACTGCATCCTTTTTCTAATCACCCTTTGCTGTCTTTGCTGCTGGGTGAGCCAACTTATCTTCTGATCTAGATAATTTTCCTACTATGCTGTAGGGTATTCTGAACCAAAAATGCTCTACACTTTCTTGTTGAAGCTGTTCTGCATGGACAAATTAGGTAGGCACGTGAGACAAAACAGTAAGACATCATGAATCAGTAACCTGCTAATGAATGTCTGTTCACTTCTAAGGGGGAAGAATTAAAATCCAGTCTGTGTTTCAAGCAATATTTGACACAAGATACTTAGGAGAAAATAAATGTAAATAAATAAAAATAAATAACAATAAAAAGTAAAATATTTCACTGACAAGATGACAGACCTAATTGTATAGGATAGACTTATCCTCATTTCCTCTCTCTGGCAAAATGAATATTTAACTATCTCTTACAGTACAGAACAGCCCCATTAGGGGCTCTTCTTGCATTAACTATTATCTGCAGCTTGGCTCTTCATAAAGGAAGACACAGGTTCAAATGAAGGAAGAGATGAAACCTAGGCATCGCACCTGGTTGGGTGAATCTTTTGAAAAACTATGTGGGGGAGGCTCACAACATACCTCTTCTAGGCTCGCTGACACAGCATTTTATGCTTTATAGTAAGCTTAGGATGCTGTAATAGTGGAAATGTAAGAGTTCATGAAACATAGGAGAGTGGACTTTTTGGGACCTATATTCTACATTGTGGCACTTAAATTGGCAGTTGTGTCCTACAACTTCCTTAGCACCATGCTTGTTTCTGCTAAGGCCAACATAAAATTCAGAAAATGTTGAAAGGGCTTGTTTGCATTCACAATGTTATCAAGTCTTCAAATTCTATGAAGATCTGCGTGGAATCTAGTTTGCCCCTAGCATGCTTGACATTTCTTCCTGGGAAATGGGATTTATGCTCCAGTATCTCCACATCCACAGAATCACACAAGCGTGCGTGTACACATAGATAACCACATACACAAAGAGACATAGACATGCATACAAACACATGCACGGACTGGACTCACTGTTGACTATTTTTTGGCAGTGTTTCGGTTAAATGTAATTCATAATTAAATACTGCATTTAGAACAACATTCTAGGGATTCAGCTGTTCTGCTCAAACCCTCTTCACAGCTGAAGAAAAGACGAAACATGGGCAGCCTTTTTTATTGAATTAATTTGATTTTTGTCTTTTGTCCGCCAGCTATCAAAATTGTCAAATAAACCAGCTTTGATTCATAAATAATGGTTCCATTATATTTACTGTGCCACCGGTCAGAGTACCTGAAATTTTAATTCACTTGTTCAGCTAAATTTCATCCTCAGTTCACGGCCATAAAATTCTGTATTGACAAACTTTCAAACCAACTTTGACTCTGAGGTATCTAGTCAACATTTTTCTTCTGTGTGGATATTAGTTTATTGAATAAGTGGCATCTGTTTTCCTCCACATCACTAGTGGAGTAGGTATTTCCTTTTGACAGCTTTGCACGATTTATGGGTTGCATGCTCTGAAGAAAAATAGTACTAAGCAAAAAATTCCAATTCATTACCTCTTAGTACTTAATTAAGTTCATACACATTGCACACTATAGGTGAACCCTGAAATGACTGTGACAGCCACTGAGCAGCAAGTTAGATTATCTTGGGAAGACAGAGAGACTTTTAATTATCTTGACCTCATTTTTCCGTGTATGATATTCATGATTTTTCCTTCTACTTTGTTGCCTTCATCAGGTGTACCAAACCATTCTGAAAACAAGATTATATCCTCAGCTATTTCCTTTTATCTGTACATTTAGGCACCAAATGTTTTTACAAATAGTGAAGTCAAGCAATGGTTTTTATCGGCTTACTTCACACAGCTGTAGATGAATTGTATCATACAGGCTCCCCCTAATAATGGTTTGGTTTTGGAAATGATAACAGCTTGATAAAAGAAGAAAGCAGTGGATCTGGCTATCAGTAGATACAGAAATAAAGAGAGCCTGGGCTTTACCTGTCAGGGTTCTGCGTACACACATGCATCTGTAAGAGGATCCGCTGGGTGAAAGTCTTAAAGCATTGCCCACATTTCCAAAGATGCCAGTCACTGAACTCAGAATTTAGTTGGCTTGTTGAAGTTGGGCTTGCAAGAACTCGTTGGTTTTTGACACTGATCTGGTTAAATCCTGACTCGATGGACCCAGACTTATCCAGGAGAGAAAAATTTCTGCTACACGGAGTCTGTGGAAATACTATGGATCGCTGTGGAGTGGCAGGGGATAGTTTGCTACTTTTATTAAATGGCTGTAGGGTGTCTTGTCTGGACATGGCCTCCATTACAGTCGAAGGGACATTCACTGGGAGAAAACAAGAAAAGTAAATAAGATCCTTTTTATGCCTTTTTAAAAGTAATACAGTGTTGGGAGACACCAAAAAAAATACCAACATCCATTTTCTTGACACTAGAATTGAACAACTTTATTTTAATAATGCACAAAAAAATGGGCTTTAATGAGACAGTGATCTGAATGGATGATGTTGATTCTGTGACACTGAAATGAAAACTCATGCAAAGGGGTGTCTGAGACTGAAAGGACTCAGAGAAGCCTGACTGTGATATACATTTATTGAACAATGGGATTGTCATCTGAAAGAAAATGCTGCTGCACATGTGATACTCTGATTCTGTATGTTGCAGTTAGCATGTCCAATTGCTATATCACAGACAAGCATGAATTTTGAGGGCATGGGGAAAAAAATTCCTTGCTCGGACATTCCTTGAGATACAACAGGGCTTAAATATCTGCTGCAGGAATAGCTCACTTATCCTCTTAAAGGGCAGCCACTAAAGATATTACACTATTACATCTCAACAAATAGTCACACAGCCAACACAGTACAAAGCCAGTGACTTCACAGTGACTCGTATGATTAAGGCTAATAACAGTTAGATCACCATGAGACAATACAAAGTATAGGCAGAGATATCTTCATGCATCAATTTCCCACCTACAAAATAAGAACAAAAACTGTTTCCAGTCCCATGAAAGTCTTATGATCATCAATTAACTGTGGCTTATGAGGCAATCAGATACTTCTGCAACAAATGCAATACACTATTCTCACAAAGAAATGATTTAGTGCTGAATTTGGATGTTGCATGATAAGGAAGGCAGGAGGTCAAACATACAGAAGAAAGTTGAACAGCTGCTTCACTCCCTGGGTACCATCTAGATCATGCAGTGAATGAAGCAAGGGTCCTATGGAAAAATGGGGTCAGCTAATGAAAGATTGTACCACAATGCAAAAAGAAGATAACTTAAGCCATCTGGGCCCAGTACTTTCTCATGCTTTCTGATTTTGGCACGCTCAGCCTCCTGAGAGAATATTTTAATGGAGATTTTTAAATTAAATGTGTTGTATGCTTACTTCTATGTCTACATATGTTCACACATTTAGTTACTGTCACAAAGTGTTTATATGTATGTATCCCCGTGTAGGTACATAGCACCCACTAAACAGGTGATTAGAAACTGCAGGTCTGTTTAGGTAAGTCATGATGATAAATTTCTAGGGGCAATTTGTGTACTTTCATTTTGCCCCAACATTCCCACACAAGAAGCAGATCACTTTTTTTAAAAAAAAAATTGTATTCATAGAAGTCCACAGAAGCAATAAGATCAGGTTAATAAAGACCTAAGGAATATAGGCAGAGTCTGTACTGGGTGAAAATACCTCTGTGCAAAAGATAAGCAGAAGGTCTACTCTGAGGGCTTAAGAGGCACTTAAGTCATATACCTGCCTGCAGCTGGCTCCATGCTCAGAGATGAATTTCATGTACTCACGTCAGTCTCTCTGTGGATGAAACTCTGGTTTCTCTCACAGCAAAATAGCAAGTGACAATATTTAGAGATTTTAGCCATAATGCTTTGCTTTTCAAATAAACGTTTCGTAAGCTTCAGCTCATGAAAGAAAAAATATTTCTATACTGTACACTGCAGAGCATGAGTTTTATCAGCAAACATTACTGCCAGTAATTAAATTTCTTTTAAACTTTTCACAAGCCCAACAGATTTGAAAACTCAACATGAAAAAGGATGGGTTTTTTTGACAGTTTAATCCCTGCTATCTTGCTGTTTTATTGCTGCATGGTTCAGTATTTAAGTTGCTACAAGACACAAGTTCATCCTAGCATTGCTGTTTAAGTATCCGAGTACTTGACGAAAAAAATACATCTTATATGTAATTGATTAAACAGGGGGAGCCACAGGGTTACTTTAGACCAAAGTCAATCGGGCATCCATTATCGGTTTCTTCCACCACATAGATACACATAGCTGTCAAAATGGAAGAGACGTCTTTGATGCAAGCTCTAATCAAGTCTCACACACAAACAGTGAAACTAGCAGGCATGCTTGGATCACCCATTCCCATTAGAGACAAAGGTATCCAGCACTGGATTGCACTGGGTCTGTGTTATAAGTTACATCCTTAATTTTGTGATGATTCTTAGCAAACTAAAAATAAAATATTGAGAAGGCATAGAAGAATGGATGGAAATGGGGATGGCCAGGATGGAAAGCAGGTTCATCGTCATTTCAGGCTACTTACACTCAGTTTGTATCTAGAGAAGCTGGCTTTTACCTCTTAACCACAAGGATCTCATCTCTACAATCAGTCAGGCAAAGCTTTTCTCGAAATACTCAGTGGTAACAGAATGAAGAACCTCTAACAGAGGCCTCAGGGACCTGTAATGCATTACTGTTTTGGTAACACAGTGTCTTGTGATAGGTCTGACAACAATGGAGAGGGCCAAGCAAATAGATTGAGAATAGACTAAGAATGAGTCACTTATAAGCAAGAGTGATTCTACGCACTACCAAGCTATGCGGGGCTGCCATGGGGGGAAATCTGCTATTTAATTGTACATACTTGCACACTTCCAAACACCTCCATTTATTTAGGTAACCATACTATGATTTTGCACAGGTTAAGTGTATCAGCCTCAAGGTTTTATTTTATAGACACCAAGCTTACCTTAAATATATAACCACTTTCGTTTAATACGTTTTAAAATACTCTAGAAATATAGCTGATTAGGTATGAAACAGGAATTCTGGCTTACACAAGTAGAAATGCAAGGAAGAACTTACAATTTTCATCTTGTGCAATGCATTGGAGAGGGATTCCAAAGAAAGATGTGTAGCTGTCATTGTACCACACCAACAGCTCAGTGCCCCTGGGGATATCTATGCAAGCCCGGTAGAATATATTTGACCTAATCAAGAGAAAAAGAAAAAAAAGCCTAATTTAGGACTAGAACATTCTCCTCTTATCATACACAATATTACATTAGAAATCCATTGTTTTGGAAGCATTTGTCCAGATAACTAAATGAATAACTTACTGACTATTTTAAAACCAAAACTATGATTAGGGAAGGACTTTGTTCCTGTAGCATAGGGTAACAGAGAGCTTACAGGCACTTTGTACCTAGCATATATTAATCTTAAGATTTTACAAGCACCAAGATTTTATGAAAAGGCAGATTTTTCTTGCATTGTCCCTTTTAAAGTGATTTTAGAAATCACTTTAAAAAAAATCACTTTAAAAAAAAAAATTTTGCTCACACAGTACAAGCATCAGAGTGGTGCACACAGTTCAGTAAGTTCAGCTATATAAACAGGTTTGCATTTGTCATCTAAGTTAAAGTTAACATATTTTAGTGGTAAACAGACAACAGTTCTTTCATTTAAGTAAGCTCTTTTAGCAAGACGGTTGAGATAGCATGACGTGGCCTTTCATTACAGAAATATACCACCAAAAAGAGAGATCTTGGATTGTTGAGTCAAACAAGCTTTGGCTTAGGGAAATAAAAAAATGGGGTTAATCTGTACATACAATCAAAAGATCTTCCCCTGTACGGAACATGAGGGTAATGTCAATGATTCTTCAGTAAGTATAAATTAGTGTTACTGTAAATTTGATATCTTATCACATCTCTCTGTGGGAAAAGACTGTGGGTGTTCCTAGACCACTGAACTGGGAGTTGAGGGGAAAAAAAAAAGGAAAAATCATAGACTCTCTAGCAGAAAACCAAGAACCTTATCCTCATCTTGCACTGATGTAAATAGCTTTAGAGTGATACTTCTGCAGTTAGCAGATTTACACGGGGCAAAAACTGTGTAAGATTAGAATCAGGCACAAGATAAAACAAAAATGTTATCAGTTTGTAGTGGCTTTTCCCTTAGGCTTCACATGGAACAGTAAAACACAATCCTGTGAGATGGATAGAAATTCAATATATACAAGAAGAACACTTCACTCTCGCTGAAGGATTACATACCAAAATGATACAGTCAAAGTACCAAGAAATGACCATTTTTTATAACAGCTTATGTAAGCCAGAAAAACATCTATAGACCCCCCAAAAAAATGTTAGGCCTCAACTGGTTTTCTGAGTGAAGAATTGCTACAAACGTTAGCTTGAAGTTCAAGATAAAAGTGTTTAGGGTTGGTAGGCCTTAAATTTAGACTTTCTATAAAGAATTGGCTGTAGCGATGCAATTTGTTCCTTGTATAACACTGCAGACATAAGGAGAATCTTTTACCACATTTTTCATGGCAGTGAGATATGCACTTGTCAACATATTTTGTCACCGCAAAGTGGCTCTTGGCAACAGGATCATAAAGATCAATAAAAAAGTGCAGATTCTCAATATTTTACTAGCAGCTGCAAAAATTTCATTTATCTTGTTATTTTCCTCGCTTACTGCCACCCTGTCTCAGGAGGGCACTGCTAGCTAAGCAGAATGGTTTTCCTACCCTTCTATGAATATCTGACAAAAACTCCCCTTTGTGTCTCCCCCTCTCCTTCCCTCCTCCTCCTCCTCTCCTCTTCTCCCTCTCTTTCTTCTAAGAGCTGCGCATTTTGTTAATTCTTTCCACTGTTACATAAAAATGAAAATTGGAGCCACGCTATAAATTACCAGCATCTCCTAAGTTGAGAAAAATTGAGTCTACTTTGTACTTCACCCTCGTAACATTTCATCTCTCAGTTTGGCTTCCCTTAACATAAACACAGCAGCCCAGCAAATGAATGTGCTAAAACCAAATGACACACTCTGCCGCTGAAAGAGCAGAACTGTTTTTGAGCAATGGGTGGTCTGTGAGGCTTGGAGTAGGCAGGGAAAAAAAAGTGTAAGTGTACACCGTCCCTTACAAGCGTGCAGAGCTTCCAAAACTCGCAGAAATCTCTGCATGCTGAAGTACATCAAAGGGATTTTTCCCTTTTCAGATAATATTTCCTTTGCTGACATGTATTTAGTATTGTGGTTGGATGACTCATAAAGATAGCTTCATGGCGTCCCAACGCAGTTGAAGCAGAACACATGCCAACAAACATTATTGTCAGCCTCAAAATAAAAACAAAACGTTCAGCTAAGGGTCAATCAATCAAGAGCACTTTGAAGAAAATTCCATTTAGATATTACAAATCATAACAGAATGAATTTAAACCAGCTGACTTTCTGTGAGGAGGACATCCATGTACAATAAAAATTAGGCTGGTTTTTCAGTGTCCAACTTTTCTATTTTCTTACACTTGGATGCAGTCACTGGTGATGGATGCCAGTTTTTAAATTGTGTTTTTGTAGTTCATTTTATAAAGATCTGAAGTAATCAAAAACAGATCAACAGAGGGAACTCTAAGCAAAACCTCCATCATGAAAGGAGAGTTGTAAAATCCACTTAATATTGACAGATGTGTAATGACTTGCTCATGCTCACTTTTCATTTAGTTTTGTCATCTATATATATGTATGCATATTTTTTCTTATTTTATATATATATATATGTGTGCACGCACACACCGCCACACTGAGAAATAGTTCACAACATACCTACAAAAATACTCTTTCATCACAACAGTCTTTATTCATTATCCAGTGTGTTTGTTTAAAATCCGACAGGATTTTGGCTATAGATATCAGATATTTAAGGGTATAATAAAAGATTTGTAGTGTATAAATAGGATTGTTACTTTTTTTAATTGTGGCATTATTTAGTCAACTAGCCAGAGAATAAAAAAGCTGAAAATACAATTGAACAATTTTACCATTGTTAAATTGGAACCCTATGGAATAACCAAACTTTATATATATTTCATTTTAGCTTGCTTTTTTATGTTTTATTTTTAATTTTAAAGGTGCTTTAAATAAGTTTATGATTTTTCCTAAAGACAAGAAACTCCACTCTCTAAATCAACTAGTGAAAATTGGGGTTGCTCAATGCAACTGGCAAACCTGGAGCATTCTTTGATGTGCTTCCTACCGTGTTTAATAAGGCCAAGCAGTTGCTTCTGATTCTGAGGCAAAAGGTTTGTTTATAGCTGAGATCATGTATTTATGTAATGCATTGTCTGGGTTTTCTGGATCTCTTTGTGAGTACAAAGTAAAATGCACCATAATTTGTTTACATTTTTCTTCACATTTTGACCTTCTTTAGCTGGCAACATAAAAGGCACAAGCACTAGCAATCTTGGCTAGCAGGTGTACTCAACATATAAGGTTTAGGTGTATATGCATCTTGCGACTGACTCTCAGAAAGCCTTTGGGTTCAAAACTCCTCTCCTGCCTTTTTTCTCCTTCTAGCGCATGCATCTTTATTAAGGGTAGAAGATGGCTTGCGTTGGCTTGATTCTGATCAGACCATTTGAAAACGTGCAGAGAGTTCTGCACAGTGTGGTGGTCACAGGAGTGACACAGGACTGTATTTGTTCCCAGGAGCTCCACTCTACAGGTTTTGCATTGCCCTGGATGAGCACATTCACAAAAGCCCTGCTGCTGTCTTTGCAATCAAGGGCAACAGTACTGGTAACAGTTATAGCCTGAGTTTTCAGTAAAACCATTTTCATTCTGTTGCATTGAGTAAATCAAAACGTACTTTACCTGTACTGAACCACTGTTAAGTTCTGCTCCCCGCAGTGTCTTGCACATCGGATATACCTCATCCAGCTTGACTTACTGGGTTCTCCACCATCAATAAAGTGCTGCAGCGTCCCATCTTGGTCATATATCTGTGGGACATGTCACAAGATCAAGCAGTTAGAACAAATCATCAGTAACCATTTTCACTGCTTTGCTGGTGTCTCTCTGTGCCTTTTCCAGGAATTTATTGCCATGAGATTTGTCATTGCATACTGATGCTCTTAGAACTCTACATGGAACAGCAAAAAAGTATTTTTGGGGATGCAAGTTTATCATATTTCTTTTATCAAGCCAATCTTTTTGTATTAAACATATTTGTGGTGTCTCAAAGATGTGACCATGCTTCCCAAAGAATATTTAACCTATTTTGACAGGCTGGCCTTAAATAATGACCTGCCAGATAAACAAGAAAATCTGAATGTAAAGCCTGCATTGAAATGTCTGGAACATCTGAGCAAGGGCCAGTACTAATCCCTAAACAAGTATCCCTTCCTTCACGTCAGTTGCAGCAAGAGCATGCACTTCAGCAACCTCGCATGATACATTAGGGAGTTGTAGGATTCATAATACCAAAACAAATTAGACTAGAAGCAAAAAGAGAGTTGAAGATGCCTTTAAAAGTTCCCTTGAGACATATAATTTTTTGAAGTAGTAAATGAGAAATCAGTCCTGAGAGAATCGTGGTTTTCCTAAACATGACATCCCTGCTAAGGACATGAGAGCCAGTTACAATAATTTTTTAAAAAGACGTTATTATGTCCCTATTTGGCACTGGATGCTCCCTCAAGTCAAAGAATAAAATTGCTCTGGAGGCTCTGAAATGAAAAGATGTGTGTTTTATGCACACCTGCCCTTCTGACTACTTAAAAATTTTATCTAGGAAGTGCTAATCCTGGTAAAAGTACATGGGTTCACAAGATCTTTACCTGTTACACAACTACTTTGTTAAAAATCAGAAACGCATCTGAACAATTAGGTGCTTATCTGAAGCAAACTTGATCTTCAGATCTTTTGCCCCTCCACAGACACCATCTGCTTTAATAATCCTGCTCTAAAAATATTATCCCTTTTGCAATTGTATAAGCCTAAATTGATGCCTTCTTGAAAGTACCAATTCTACTAATTAAAGAGGAAGCACATTTATTACATTGAATTGAATATTTCTAGAGCAAGTAAATTAACAATCTTGCATTTCTATTTCAATATCAAGAGAATAATCTCAGAAATTACATGACTATATTCAATATTTCTGATTTATTAAAAAAGTTTTTCCTACAATGCACACAAAACCGGAATACACAGGAATCAGAATCTAGTTCTTCACTCCACCACATGAGAGTTTCAAATTCAGGAGCCAGCCTTGCTTTTGCTTTTGACCAAGAGGGACTGGGAGTAATCAGGAGCAATATATCCATTGCTAGAAATCAAATACCTACAGAGATCTTATCATTTGTTCCTCAGTGCCTGTGACAAGGACCAGGTAGAACCTGGCCAGATGGACCTGGGTTGGAGAAGCAAGATGCTACCCCAATGTGCTCTGAGTGGTGGAATAAAGTCAGAGAAATCAGACGGAGTCCTCAGAGGCAAACAAATACTCCAATACTGGGGATTTCGTTTATTTTTATATGTGGTAGCTTGTTGATTATCAGCAAGGACCTATTCTTAGGTAAACATGTTAATGTATGTTGAATATATGAGCAAAATATGCTAAACAATAAAAATCTGCAATGGAAATGGAAAAGTTTTACAGAAAACCAGCCTACAAAAAGGAAGAAAAGGAAAAAGTAATGACTAACAGTGCTTGGCTGGGACCATTTTGGCAATATCTATCCAAACAGTCTCAGCACAGTGTTTATTATCTATTCATTTGCATGGTGCTTACTAACATAACAGTGTAAAGCTTAACACGAGGCAAAACCAGTTCCCATAAATAAAAAGCTGATAGCTTCCTAATCCTCAGAAGATATGAAACAGGAAAGACAAAGAAGACTGCCATAATTGGTACTGACAGCCATATCTGGACACACAGGGACCTACTCAGAACTTTGTGTACATGGACAGTCATGAGCTGACATGAGAAATTAAAATCTGCCATGCAGGACTGGAGATTTTTTTAGCCCTTGGCCTGGAGTAGGAAGTACTACTTTACAAGCAAGACTAAATATTCTCAAATGCTTTATTCCTGCAAGTACTGATGCATCTCCTTTGCTAGGGGGACAGTACTGACATTGCAAATAAAGCTGCAGTCAGAATCCATCCCACAGCAGTCTTAACTCTGTTCTTACAGGAATAAAAACCCAGCTGTAAAGGAAGCAGAAACCCTAACCTTAGAAAGAAAATAGCAACAATGCATTGTATCTCTTTATTTGTCAAATTGCATAATACAGGTTAAAATCTGAAAAAAATTAACTTATTTATTATTATTCATATTTCCATCGTGCACTGGTTCTTACTATTTTCCAGTTACCGAAATCTGGCAACCACAATATAACTGCCTGAAGAAACCATCATGAGGGAGCAAACCATGACCTGCCATAACAGAGGAAAAGCAAACATGTACTGCAAGCTGTAAACTCAGACATTACAGCAAACTATATGAATATACATGTTCTCCTGCATCTGTATTACACATGCATATGCACTTAAACACTCATAGTATCTATTAAAAAAACTACTGCAGAATCCTGTGATAAACTGATGTGACTGAAAATCTTTGACAACCTCACTAGATCATTACATCCGTCTACGCCGGCATAACTTTTATCACATTGCAAAAGACTCATGGCAAAGTAAAATGCAATTTCTCCAACTCCCTATGGAGAATGTAGGTATTTTTTTCTGTATCTCACAACAGTCACTGATCTAAGCAGTGGAAACAAAATTAGTTATTTCATTTTTCTACTTTGATTACACTTGAAAGTGTTACCTAAACTGCTTACTAGATCTTTTCCCTCTTCTGACCTGAAGTACTTGTTAACTGTTGTTTTTGCTGAGTTTTAAGGGTTTTTTTGCTTTTGTTTTAAATGTTTCAAAGCTTTAAGATTTCTTTTTTGTGGCCTGTTCCAATTTTGAGGAATCCACCAGGCTACTGGCAGAGGCTGGAGCCTGATAAAAGAGAACTACACTCACCTTCTCGTTTGACATGCCTTCTGATCCTCCTTAACAGTTCCCATACAATTAATTAACTTCTTAATAGGTTCTTGAGAAATTACAGATATGTTCCATATCAAGACACTCAGAATGTGAAGCATGTTATTATTCTATGAATTTCATCCTTTGACTTCAGAATACAACAGAAACAGCTTCATTTTCCACGAAAGCAAGTACAAAGTGTAACCAGCACAATTCAACTCTTCTCTTTTCCATTTTTATACTCTTTTCCTTACACACATCAGTTTACTCAGTAACCAAGACATAAACACACATCAGGTTCATCTTGTAACAGCATGCAAATATAAATCAAATATGAAGAACTGGATTTATTACTTGTTGAATTGCTTATTGATAATTATTTGGAGGTTGTAGATACTGAAACTTATAATGACAATGATAATAGCAACACATAATGACAATAATAATATAATTTCTAAAGCACACAGTGTCTCATATAAGTGATGATCTAAAATCTGTGAAATAAGTAAAATAAACAGCAGTTGCTGAAACATTTGTCACTCTGGCAATGCACCACGGCTAGGTAAGACCATGTAAGATTTAAGTAGTATTAATAGATCAGGCAGAGTGCTAAAAAGCCACCTGAGAACTTTCAATTACTTCAGTACTGACATAGTCAGTATTGCTCACTTGGATAGCTGGGGGCAAATGTAGTTCCAACGTTAAAGACCCATGTTCCAGTTTCTGGTATAGATGCCACAAAATTTTAGAATGAAGGAGCCCAAATGTAGTAGCACAGCTGCAGAGAAAGCCAAATTATGAAGCAACTAAAAACAATTTCACAGAAGAGATAGGGAGAGCAAAAATGGTTATTTTGTTGGAGTTCTTTCCTCTCTGTCTGCTGCTCTCCTTTGTTCTCTTTCCATGGTCTGCTAAAGCATTGTGTCTTTAGAAATTCTGCCTGCATTTTACTTTTCCATTTAGTGAAATAAAAAAGGTATTAGAGTATGATTTAATTGACCTCTCACTTTCCTTGCAGGCAGAGAGAGAAAAGACTGGTCCTGAAAGTGGAATTTTTCTTTGCGTATACATTTGTATTGTAAAAGCAGCTATTAGAATAATTTTTTATGTTGCAAGACATCAAAAGAGGTGTGAAGAAAACCACAAAACATGCAAGAACTAATTCTTACCGTTAGTAGAAAATCTTGGTTTTGCTGTTCACTGCTATTCTCATTGACAGCACATGCATAAAGTCATAGGATTTTCAAATCACTCAGCATTAGCCTTCTCCTCCCACAAGAAATTCTACCCTTGACCTCAGTAGGAAGAGTCAAGATAGCAAGGAGTACTTTTGATCAGTACATACATTCCACAAATCATCAGCCGTGCATTTAAAACGATGGATGTACTCTAAACTACTGGAAATCATAGAATCATAGAATGGTCTGTGTTGGAAGGGACCCTTAAGGATCATCTAGTCCAAACCCCTGCAATGAGCAGAGACATCTTCAACTCAATCCAGGTTGCTCAGAGCCCCATCCAGCTTGTCCTTGAATGCTTCCAGGGACGGAGCATATACCACCTCTCTGGGCAACTTGTTCCAGCGTTTCACTGGCCTCATTGTGAAAAATTTCTTTCTTATATTTACTCTAAGTCTACCTTCTGTTAGTTTAAAACCATTACCCCTTGTCCTGTTCCAGCAGGTCTTGCTAAAAAGTCTGTCCTCATCTTTCTTATAAGCCCCCTTTAGGTACTGGAAGGCTGCTATGAGGTCTCCTCAGAGTCTTCTCTTCTCAAGGCTGAACAATTCCAACTCTTTCAGCCTTTCCTCATAGAAGAGGTGTTTTATCCCTCTCATTACCTTCTCCATGGAGAAAATATGGAGAAAAAGGTTGTAACAGTTTGATGAAACAGACTGATAGGTCATATATGGCAGCATCCATACAAGTTATATTCTTTTTGTAACCTAACAAGCCAC